AAAAAAAAAAAAAAAAAAACAATCTCGGAACCCTCAACCCTCCTCTGAGCAGGCACGAACCTTCATCTGGCCGCCTTGGTTCTAGAGCAACCCTCGAAAAAACTGCAAGATGTGGGGGGGGGGGGGGCAAGGCCACTCGATTCAGGGTTGAGTCCCTTTAGGGCTCTGATCAAGAAGAGATCTGGAGCTATGCTTTGAGCAATCCTTCGATTGGCAAAGCCCTTTAAAGAACCCAGAGCCCCACAAACTGATAGATAGAAACCCCTGTTCCTACAACCCTGAAGCCGCAATGCCTGAAGACCCAACCCTCAACCCTTGCAGTAACCCTGAACCCTGAACCTTTCGGGGCCATGGCCTTCTTTCTTTCGCCCGATGTGGCGAATCTGGTGGATGGTCTGCTCGCAGACTCGAATCTGGGCTGCGACGTTGGCAGAGATCACCTTCACCGAGAGCCAAGCTACGACAAGAGCCTCAATGAAGGAGGATCTTTGGTATGTATCTCATGGGTTATAGTATGCTGTAGCAGATGTCCTTCATGGAATACGATAAGAGCCTCAATGAAAGAGGATCTTGGGTATGTTATGTATCTCATGGATTATAGCATGCTGTAGCAGATGTCCTTAATGGAATAGGTTCCGCACCTATTTTTCTGTAACAAACTAGGGACAAGACGGGAATACTATAGAATCGCTTCCGACCCCTACTTATAACTTATCGGTTCGGCTCTCAGTCTCGGACAGGCCAGGCGAGGTTCTTGTTGTGTAGCCGATTGGTTCTTCAAGCTTCGCACATGATGTATGTTTAAAGAAAAGCACTTCCCAACCTTGCATCTCAACGAAATGCGAGAGATGCATCCCTCTGAGATGCCCTGGCTCATGGATGCAGACTGCTGCTCCACCGCTACTGCCGGCGGGCGCTAGGGCACTATGGCAAGGGTTTTCGATCTCCAACTCGGACATGACAGACGGGGTCTCTCTGTTCGACGAGGGTTTTGAGTTTTGAGTTATTGCTACTTCTCCTTATGTCGTTTTGCTAATGTCGACCCCTGATGACAGAACTCACCGTCTTAAAGGTTTCAGACCTCTGACCCTGATACTCGACCCCAATGATCATGATCCTGAGTTGCCGGAGAGGGTGGGTCATATCATCAGGGGTCCCCACTAGGTGCTTAAAGCCGCGAAGCCTCCCCTCATGTTCAGGCCTGGCACCAGGCCGCTACGGAAAAAAAGCACGCTCGGAAGGATCGGCAGAACTTGCGCCAGGGGTGTAGGTTTGCGGTCTCAAGTAGACCGTGTCGCTGATCAAGCTAAGGCCCCCTGTTTTGAAACCCGATGCCCACGTAAATCCTAGACCCTCCTCCCCAAAAACACCTACCCCACCCTGAACCCCAAGCATAGCTGCCAAAACACTTCTCATTTCTTCGAGCCTGCCCTTTACCCTAAACCCTAAACCCTACTTGGAGGTTCATGGGTAGTTATATGTATGGTTATACAAGTCTCCCAATATGGGTCAGAACTATAGTTGCCTTGCTTATAACCCCACTTGTAACTACCCGACCCATGAATCTCCAAGTATACCCCAAAAAACTCCCTAAACCCTAAATCCTAAATCCTAAACCCTAAACCCCGAACAAATCTTGTGACCAGCCTCAACCTCACGCTCCCGGCTGCGGCATTGCACACTGTCCTGCACGAGGCATCTTGAACTGTATTTTGGGGTTCTTTGGGAGCTCATCAGGCCTAAGAAAAAAGGGGCCTTAATCATTAGAATAGGGTTTTTGGGACATATGTATAGTATAAGTATATAATAAGGAGCCCATATTGAATTATTTAAGCCCCCGTATCAATGCGAGGTTGTGAGACCTGCAATAGAATAGGGTTACCTTTCTCGGATACGCACCGCCACATGCAGACAATGAAGGACAGTGACGCCAAGGTGCAGAAAGCAGCTAGTCCAGCAAGCATGTTCGGAGAGATGACCAAAACTGTTCACTGGGATTCCAGGAGAACGCAATCGAAAACCATCGAAGGCAACATCAAATGTTCCTGTCCTTCAAGGAGGTAGGTTTCACTTCAATGGTTTATGATTAAGTGTGTTTTGGTCCTTAGCCGCATACCCCAAGTCCGAAATTCGAAACAGGACCTGATAGACACTGACTGACAAGACTGACAAAGTGCAAAAACTGTACAGAACCACTCCAAAGCCGATAGCTTCCAACAGAGCCCGACAAGAAAAGAAACGATGCAACAGCTTAACTTCAGGTCTCAGTGCGCACCCAAAACTGAAACTTCTCAGCAACCGCTTGCAAGCCCCGTTCCACCAACTAGACTGTAGATCAACTCAAAGCCAAAAAACAAATCCCTTCTTCGCATCCAGGCTTGGGAAGTCGGCCCCCTCAAACGCTTTTTTGCATCCAGGCCTATTGCGAAGGCCGGGTACCCCTGAAGAAAAGAAACTGAGGACCAGGGAAAATCTGCGGCACTAAACCCACCCCTAAACCCCAAACCCTAAGACAGGTCATGTTGCCCAGTCCTCAGGTAGCGCCAGGCGGTGTTGATGGGCCGCGACCAGCTTCCTTGGTCGTTCGGCCGCTGGATCAAATTAAATATTCTTGCTATTAGGGTTTAGGGTTTAGGGTTTTACCAACTGAGAATAGCTATGAAGATTGCCATTTCTGCTGCTTATTTCTTAATAACCTTGCTCCCTCTCTCTCTCTCTCTCGAGGTGCCATCGTCAGTCTATAACTTCTACTCATTGGTTTTTGTTTCTTGGTGGCTGTTCTGAATGATTCTCTTGCGGGTTCACGAAAGGGTTCCTTGAATGATTCTATGAACGGCACTAGACGGAAGCTGTCAGGAATCTACCACGGGTTTGGGGCTTCGGGGTTGTGGGTTTAGACTATTTTCCTTCAGGCAGTCCTGCGCCGGCCCGGTCCGCGGGGGAGGCCGAATTCTCATCGCAAGATCCTATATGTGTATACATATATGTAAACATATATGTAAATATGTGTGTGTGTATATATATATAGGCAGTTATATATGCATACATACATGTCTATATCCACATATATATATATAGAGAGAGAGAGAGAAAGAGAGATAGAGAGTGTGTGTGTGTTATGTATGCATACATGCACACATGCGCACCCACACCGTTGACATGACACCCTCGAACTTTGAACCTCCCTCAGGCAGCAGTACGGTGCGGTGTCTTGTCTCCACCCAGTTCCGCCCTCATTTTGACCTTCACAGCGCTCGACATCGATCAAGGCCGAGTATAGAAGCCTGAATTCCAAGCAATACGATTCCTTACGGGTCCGTTACCAGTGTACGATCATATCCCCCAAAACCCTACTCTAACTATTAAGGCCTCCCATATTCCCTAACAGACTATTATGCCGATTAAGGCTCCTATCTTGGCATGGCCACGCATTTCGTCTCCTGGGGGCTTCTTGGCGTGGCGTGATCTTGTTACAGAGGTGTTGTAGGATTAGGGTAAAAGGGCTGGGCGTGTAGAGTTAAAGTGTGTGGAGTTCAGGGTTTAGGGCTCAGGGATTTTGAAGTAAACGCTCAGAAAGGACGGCGCTGGGCGCTTGATTGCTATGTATTGCTCTGATACGTTCAATCGCACCGATCCTGACGTCTGCAACCCGGCGTCTCAATCTGTTGCTTGATTTCCTTGATCTCCTCTTCGGCCTTCTCGGCATGGTCCACCCACCTTAGGAAGTCATTCAAAAGTTCCCATTAGCAAAAACACCACAACAACCAGCATCACCACAACCACCTCCTCCTCTCCCGCTCCAGCATCAGCGAAAGTCCTCTTGATATTCACACCATGCTTAGTCTTCCTCAGTCCAGCCACGATAATGACCAGCATCCTCCAGTTCGTCGTAAAGCCGCTTCAGCATGCTCAACTAGACAGCTGCAACTGCGAAAGAAACAAGCCTAGCGATGCTTCCACCGGATGCGAAAACTCGCAGCAAAGTGTTCGAGGCTTCGGCTTAGGCATGTCAAAGAACACATCGAAGTTTCCAGTCCGCTTCTTGGGAGCGTTATCTAATTCGACTAGAGAAAACTTCCAAACTCAAGTACTATGGGGATTTGATAATGAGAACCTTGTTTTTGGTGTATTATTTGCTTGTATTGAGGACTACAAAGCGACGAAGATGTTCCTAATTATTCGACGCGCAAACTGGCCAAACACAGTCCCAGTACAAAACCCCACAAACCCGAAACCCAATAGACGTTGAACCCCGAGAAACCCCCCCCCTTGAACTAAACCCTAAGCCCTAAACCCTAAACCCCCCCTCTTGAACTTCTTGAACCCTTCATAAAACCCTGTAACTCCTCTCGGAAAGTCGAGAGCTTCTGGCTGTAACAACAGTTTAGAAATAAGGGTTTAGGGTTTAAGGTTTAGAGTTTAGGGTTTCGGGTTTAGGGTTTAGGGTTCAGAGAACCCAAAACTATCCTTATACAGAACATATATTAAACAAGCGCTTCAAAAGACATCCTACACCCTGAACCCTTTCAGCACTGACTACACTAAACCCCAAACCCTGAACCTGTTTCAGCACGCCCTCCCTATACCCTAAACCCTAAACCCCTAAACCCCTAAACCCTAAACCCCTAAACCCCTAAATCCCTAAACCCTCAAGCCCTAAAGCCCTAAGCCCAGCAGCTCCGGAGGTAGAGTCGAACGATCGATCCGCGCAGAGCCAGCTTCTTCGTCCTGGTCTTGTAGCAGCGGCTGACCTCTGAAAGGCTTGGCCTCTGGGGCTTTTGGGTTTAGGGTTTAGGGGTTGGGGATCTACCTGAAACCCCCAAAAGTAGGTAAAATGATGGCCCAGAAACCATAAAAGGCTGTTATTCTACAGACCTTTTGGGGCTTTTCGGATCTAAAGCTTTGGGTTTTGGGTGTAGGGCTTCAGGGCTTAGGCTTAAGGAAAGGCATGGTGCTCTCTGAGCCCAACCCTCCACCCCAGCCAAGTGCTGTGCCGAGCCGCTCCCCGGATATGCTGACCCGGCGCCGGTAATCCTGCGCCGCTGCTGCCGGTATTTGCGCCAACCTTTCGGCTTTTTCGGCTTTGGGGTCTAGGATTTGGGATGTCAGATATTGGAGCGTAGGGCTTAGGATGTTTAGATGCCAGGGGGGGTTGAATTATTTGTAGGACCGCTGTAGCAAGATGCAAAGCCCCCAAAGGACAATGGTTGTCGTGCCCGTCTTTCGCCTTGCACCTCTACAGTATTGTTCAGGACCTATTCAACACCCACGTGTACTCAACGATCTCGAAAGCAGGTCCTTGGATTGGATGATAACCGAAACGGAAAACTTACACACAAACATAGGCGTACATATGTGCGTACATGTACTGTGCATGCTGCATGTGTGTAAACATAGACACACAGTGCACAACTAAGCAGATGTCCAGCTGCTGCACACAAGAGCCTTTAGAGGCTCCTGTTCCGCTTCCTATGAGAAATTGCAACCGCTGGATCCTTTTTTGCAGAAACCCCTCAGCTGAAGGAGTATTTGGCCAAAAAGCACCGCGGGTGGCTGTGGGAACGGGTGTTAAGCGTTTTTGTTGCCTCACGCATGATAAATCCTGCACGGTAGGTTTGGGCACGTTTAGGGGATTTGGTCAGGGCCTAGGATCCCGATGATCTCCTTTCGGGGGCCACCCTGCCAAGGCAAGGAGCTTGGAGTTAGGTCGTGGGTGACCAGAGGCACAGGCTTTGGAGCCATGGCGGCAGCGATGGATGCAGGGCGCTACTTAATTAAGGTTCTGTGAAACCTTATGATTGTGGGTTGATAGGGTTTGCTGTAAGGATTTACGGGGTCCGTGTACCGATAAAGTCTGAAGGCGTATCGTGATCCATGGCAAATCAAATGTGGGCGCAGAGCACTTCCTGTTCACTGCCGGCTGCTATAGTACTAGCATGTGCAACAATCAGACCTGCTCTCCACAATCTGTGGACAAAAACAAGAGCGACGGCAGCATTCCCACATCTGTCAAGCTCGGCTTGTTCAGAACCAAATGACCTGACCCTGGGAACCGATGGGCACGTATATCTGCAATGCAGCAAAGCAAAGGGGTTTCTCAATTATCCAGCTGAAAACGATGTGCGTACGAGGCCGGCATAGGAGTCGCTGTCGAGCACAGACAAGCTCTGATTCATTTAACATATCCACGGATGATAAGATCTGTACCGTATTTCTAGTGGGACCGCGGGGACTGCCCGTTGTTGTCCAGAAAAGACGTAATTCAACGAGAAGTTCATCGAACTCAGCACCAACACTACTAATGACAACCATGATGCAAGAGATGCAAAGTATAACACCAATACTAGTAAGCACTGAAAACCCATAGTGACCATGACTGCTGAAACAAGATAACGAAGCAAGAGCAGCTTTGAAAACATGCGTTTCCTGTAGGGCCAAGGGGTTTAGGTCTCAACCCTAAACCCTAAACCCCTAAACCCTAAAAACCCTCAACCCTCAACCCTAAACTCTAACCCCAAACCCTGAACCCTAAACATGAGCCCATGTGGACTGAGACCCCTGCCACGGCCGAGCCCAGATGCTGCGCTCCGCCATCCTGAAGCTGTGGAAAGCTTCGCGCCGGGCTTCCTTTTTGAATCCATGAGGGTTTAGGGCTTTTTGGGGTTTAGGGCTTTTGGGGTTTAGGGCTTTTGGGGTTTAGGGTCTAGGGCTTTCGGGGTTTAGGGTTTAGGGCTTCAGGGCTCTTGGGGTTTGGGGTTTAGGGTTTCGACTCTCACTCTCGCCGAAGGCAGGCAAGGGTTTAGGGTTTAAGGCTTTTGGGGTTTCGTGGGTATCTGTAGGGTTCGCCCCTTTAGGGTTTAGGGGTTTAAGGTTTAGGGCTTAAGGTTCGCCACGAAGTCCCTTCATCAGGGTCGCAGGTGCGGTCTTCCTCCGGAACCTGCGCCTCTGACGCCCACCAACTCGAAGCCACCAAGCCCAGAAGCTTTTCAACCCTCCAGCGCGGGCCCGCACCCTGTAAGCTCTAGAACCCTCGAACGCGAGACCGACAAGAACTAGACTGGGTTTTGTTGTGAAACGGGGGGTTGGTTCTCTAGGTTTTTTCGGGTGAATTAGGGGCATCCGCCGTGCGAAGCTGCCAAATTCTGAAGACGACTTCTAAAGCCGTACGTTTACTACACTGAACAAGCTAGAATCAGTAGAGTTTCGGGTGGTTCTTCAGGGTTCCGCCCCTACGAACCTGCAGACCGCCCCTTTAACGTTTGCTGATGTGCTTTGAGCTTGAAAGGGTGCGCCGTGGATCTTTATTGGGGGTTGAAAAGTTTAGACCCTTGCTTAGTAAGCCACTCTTTCTTTAAGTGCATGAATGCTAGGATCCCTATACTATACTCCCTATTAGAGGGACGGGCCACGGTTCTAGATTCTAGATGAAACATCAACCGTCGAAACAAAAGCTACTCCCTCGACCGCGCACCACCTTCCACCCAAACCCGGACCCAACTAAACCCCTCAACCGTAAGTTAAGACCCTTAAAAAACCCCCAACCCCCGTAAACCCAAACACGCCCAAACCCCCCTTTAAGACTCACTGAGCCACGTGGTGCTCCCCAAGACTTCGGATGAGGGGCGTCCAGAGGTCGGCTTGGATCGTCTTCATCCCAGAGGTCGAAGAGCAGAAGCAAGGGCCTCAGGGAGGTTTCAGGAGCTTAGGGTTTAGGGTTTAGGGTTTAGCCAGGAGTTTTCGGGTGTTCGGGCGCTCTGGAGTGTCGACTCGCACACTCGCACGAAGCAGGCTCGAATTTTTTGCAAGAAGTCCCAGCAAGCGAAACGACCCAGCAGGATGGGCAAGCTCGTGCAAAACACGCGGTTGAGGGCTTAGAGTTTAGGGTGCAGGGTACGTTACCCAAGTACAATGCTTCAAGACCATAATCTCTTACGCCACCCAAAGCCAACACGACTGCCCATCATGCAAGAACTAGCACGACTTCGGATCAGCCCAACAAGCTTCGTTCGCAACAAGGTACCACAGTTGTACTCATAACAACTGAACGAAGAAAGGGCTGATCCTACAGCTACGGAGCATCCAGAAGGGCATCCAACAACGGAAGCATACTGTGCGGCAGCTGCTGACATAAGTGCATTTCGCACATCTTGGCACTAGACCAGCGCAAATCCAGACTTGATGCAAAACATAATTCGTGAGACCAGGCGCCTTGTGCTTTAAGCATGCACCTCTACGTGAAAGCAACTGTACGAATAGGCAAATTCGCTTCAGGAACGCGGAATGTGCAGAGCCGACATCAGCTTGCTCGAGAGTCGCCCAGCTTGCTGAGGACTAAATCCATTTTCGCCTGCATGCCCTGGACACCAGATTCCAGGTTCCCGAGCCGGCGCGAGATGACGGGATCTGGGCCAGACTGCAGCGCTTCGGAGCGATCCTGATGCTTGTCCAACATTTTCTCGTGCATCTCCCGGATCTCGCGCCGCAATTCCGTTATTTTCTCGTGCACATTCATGACGTCGGCATCATACTGCGATTGAATCTCGCCCCATGTTGAGGGGTCTTTCGCATTGGCAAACCATACATGCTGGGAGTTGGCTTCGCTCTGAATCCGTCGCTTAACACAGGCACATGGGCATTTCTTCCAGCCAGTGTATATGGTAAAGTGTTGCAATACCAGGCGCGAACGCTCCAGAAGGAATAACCGCTCTCGGTGTTCCCATCCTCGATTGTAACTCTCGGCCAACACGCCGATCAAGATGTTCATCATTATGATCGACATGCTAAAGCCCATGAGGACCAGCACAATGTCCACCGGCCATGTCCAATCTGCCTCCCCCTGCTCAAGGATCGTCACGTTCCTCATTTCATTCCTGGAGAAGTCGGCCAGGAAACCTAAACGCCACATGATCATCATCGATGACCACCAGCTCATTAGCCCAAAGGAATAGTACATGTGAAGAAAGCCCGCAAACCAGCAAAAAACCACGAAGAAGAAGGGTACAGTTGCCGGAATAGCTTTCAGAATTGGGAGCATGGGCTTCCCCGTGCTCTCAAACCCCTTGAGAGTGTTCAACACCCTGAGCCAGCAGACAAAGCCATTAATACCGAACATGAGTCGCAGGTCCTGGCGCTCTTCACAGGCCTTCCAATCTATGACCATGGCAGCCAAACTGAAGCCGGTCAGAAATATCCTGAAGACATCAGCAAGCGTGTCCAGCGAAAGAAAATAATCACGCAGCTTGCCGTAGACATGGCACCCAAGGCATTGAAGGATCTCTATGCAGGCATTTCTTAGCCAAGCCAGAGCTGAGACAATCAGGCATGGCCAAATCATCCACTCCCGCAGCCACGTGTACTCTTTGTTCAGGAGGAAGGCCAAGGACCAAAAGAGGCACGCCACTAGCAGGTCAAGAGTGAAACTCAGGAAGTGGCCACGGTATGTTTCTCGCCACGCCAAGTTTATGATCGCATGAGCCCCCTTCTCGTCAAAGACACGATCATTCACTCCAGAAGCCAGAACCCAGAGCACCTCAGGGTTGCGATGTAAGCCAGGGAGAACGCAGTGACTTATCTCAATGGGCACTTGCGTGGTGTAATCCAACCTCTGAAACCGATACGGTAGCAGATGCTTGAAGAATTCCTCTTCCATCTCGTCTTCCCTATCCGTGAGGGTTGATCGAACACCTGCTGCCAGCTCCATCTCCTTGTGGAACTTATCATCAAAATGGCTCTTCGGCGGCCCCACCGCAACGTTCAGGTCGCCATGAGGTAGGTAAGCGGTTTTCCATGCCACACGCTTCTCCTTCTTCCAATAGCGAAGTTCACACTTCCGAAAGATGGCGCTGAGGATTTCTTCAGCATCGGGAGTGGCCAAAAATCGTAGGAAATCTTTCAAGCCGATACAGGCGACGACATCCTCGTCGCAGCCTCGCAAGCCCTTGGCGGCAGCAGCAGTCAAGACCGCGTTGTTGGCCTGGAACAGATAGTCAACCCCTCTCCTTTCCTCTTCACCTGCAAAGAGATCCGCACCACCCTCGACAAGTAGCCGCACCACCTCCACATGGCAGCCATCGATAGCATCTTTCAGTTCTTGTGGACCGAAATCAGCCGCGTGTGAGACTTGGGCTTTGGCACCGAGGAGTACTCGGACAACTTCATCGTGTCCCAGGCTGGCAGACACTTGAAGCGCGGTCTTGGTGATGCTCATGTCGTCTTGAAACTTCACGGGAGTGTCAGGATTGCCCCTCTGTTGTAGCAGATACCGCACTAGATGGGCATGACCAAAATAGCTGGCGTCATACAACAAGGTGACATTTGGCTCGTCGTTGAAGCTGATCACACGGCCTTGGAGATTCGCCTCGTACTCCACCAACAACCTCATCATTGACAAGTTTCCCTTGGCAACTGTGGCACAAACGGCAGGCCCTTTCCACAGCACGCCTGTGCGACCTGCTTTCATCGAGTACACAGACTGTGCATCAGCTCGGTGGACCATCAGCAAGCGAACGATGTTGGGCTTGTCGAGCTTGACAGCCAAGGTAAGCGGTGTCCCATCAAACTCTTTGGGGCCAAGCTTGTACTTCAACTGGCAGTTGGGGTCTGCTTTGTCCTCCAAAACTTGCTTCACCTCCTGGTAGAGCCCCCTGCCAATCAGACATCGACGAAGCCTCCCGTCCAACGAGGGGTCATCGCATGCTGAGAGGTCGGATTGCTCACGAACCAGTGCCAACACGTTGTTGGAA